TATATATAATATAATATTAAGTGGCTGCTCATTTATTTAGAATTTCCATGCTGCTGATGTCCAGTCATCTCTTAGAAATCACTAAATGCTGATACTGAAGTAAAGATGTTTTCAAGCTGCTTGGTGCCCTACCTCATCTTAAATCCTGAAAGCATTGTAAAATTACTGATTTTGCTCAAGTCATACTTACCATATCAGACACTGTACAAGAGATGGCTGATATTGAGACTTTGATATGTACTGTATGTGTCTCTCTATTGATAACATCAAAATAAGCTTCCTTATTCAGCAGCTGAAATACTTGTTTTCATATGTCCCGCTCTGCATAGGTCAGAGAAGGTACTAAATAACCCATATTCTTATGAGTGCTCTACAACAATCAGTTTATCTGGTAGCTTACTTAGTTTCTCCTGTAGAAAAAAAATGAATCAGTTTTGTACAAACTATTAGATATCCACAGAGAAGAAGAAAGGAGCTATACAGCAAGACAGAGTGAATGACTTATCCTCATATTTATATGTTACTATCCTGGAATGAAGAATATGTTTCCAGTGCTATGTAAGAATGTCAGGCAGAGAGTTAAGGGATTGAATTTTTCACATTGCTTTGTTGGCTCATTTAGTAACTGTGTTTTATCCCATTCCAGCTAGTTCTTCACAGTCTACCAGAACAAGGTTAGGTCCAAGCCATGCAGTTGCAAATTACTTGGTACTATTTGACTTTCAAACTAAGGGTTCATCCCTTATACCTCTTTTGATATTATATACACACATAATTCAGGAAGCCTGAATTCCAAGTCCTTACTCCACATGAAGTAGTTCCAGAACTTTAAAATACCTCTTCTCCTGAGATTATGCTTATACTGTTCAGCATTTCACTCCCTTTCATTTTGTGAGAAAGGCCTGATTCAACCACATGACTTCTGGAGAAGGTTTGCTGTGAATTATACTGACTGAGGGCCTGCACCAGTCTGGAGTTCACTGCATCTCTTAGTGCTGCATACAGAGTGGAATGGCTCTAAAGACACACTAGCCCAAGCTGGAGGGAAGAGGGAACATATATGTAGGTGACTTGGGTCAGGAAAAACAGAGTAGATAGCTGGAACTCGGTAGGTAAACTTCTGCCTCTGAAAGGTAATTCTGGTAAGTAACCTTCCCAGGTGCTGAGCTGATCCTGAGCCTCTCCAAGAGGCCTGGCCTAGCTACAGTAATGCTCTTTTGACAGAGTCCTGACCATGCTGTAACACAGCAAGATTTGTGCTGTGCTCCTCCCTTTCTGTTGGCTGGCTTAGGAACCTTACTAACATCTTATTGTTGACTTTCTGATTTCGTTTCATTGGTCCCTTCATGTGTGGTTAACATACTTATGAGGAACTGAAAAATTAGAAGCTCCAACTCCTGTAATACTTTAGCAGTTTCTTCCTTAATTTAAGGATTCCACTTTGAATGATGACTAAAATACAAATATAGTGCTTATAACAAATATTATGACATCTTTTTTTTTTGTATTTGCATGCTGTAGCTTTAAGAAATATGAGGTATAAGAATTCCATTTTTAATTTTTCTCTCTTTCTTTCTTTCTTTCTCTTTCTTCCTTTCTACCTTTCTGTTTCTTTCTTTTGCAGGTGCACACATTCAGTTTCTGAATTTCTCTACTGAAGCAAATCATGATTTCCTTGAAATTCAGAATGGGCCTTACCACACCAGCTCTATGATTGGCCAGTTTAGTGGAATGGAACTCCCATCACCCTTGCTTAGTACTACTCATGAAACACTTGTTCATTTTTACAGTGATCACTCAGAAAACAGGCAAGGATTTAAGTTGACATACCAAGGTAAGTAGGAACTAGCATGATGAAATCTATAGTTATAAAAGGAAAAACACTCTAATGTTTTTAAAATTTTTATAAATATGTTAAGCATATACTATATAGAATTTTAAAATATGTGGATTATTTAATCTGTAGGCTGAACTTCTTTACAACTGAAACTATATTGAATTGGAATCTTTATTTTGCTGATGTAAAAACGTGAAGCCAAGGTGATATCATTTTTCAAAGATCACATAGCTAATACCCTTTTCCATCCCATTAAGGTGTACTGTTACTGGAAAGTACTGCTAATATTCACTGTCTTGTTTTCCCATTTATATAATGTTGTTATATGTAATGTAATGAGGATTTCAAAATATAGTATGACTTATTTTAAGTATTCAGAACTTAAAAAAAACCACAACATAATCACCTCAAAAAGATGCTAGGAAAAAATATCAAATTATTTTACAAGGTACTTAATATTTATTGATTTTTTTTTCCTAATGTCGAAAGTTGTTAATATTGTCGTGTTTGACTTTTAAGTGTTTAGGATCTACCAGCTAAACTCACTCTACTGAGCTACTAATTAACTTATATTCCTTCTAACTCCTTTTCTGCATTCTACAAACTGATTTTGGACTTCTGATCTTTAAAAATGAAATATCTTGTGTGTGTTTATTTTTCTTCAGACATCATACATTCTCTTTGTTGCCTCTGAGATCCCAGATTGCACTAGCCATTTCTGTTGCTAGCATTTCTCCTTTGGTAGTTCTTTCTAAGATTATCATATTTTGTAGCTTCATATTACTAGGCACAAGTAACTTGCTGAACACCATTTAGAACATGGAGGAAATTGTACTTTCAATTCAAGATACTCATAACCTGAGAAGAACTTCTGGAATTATTTCTTTTCATTCCTCTGACGTGCTCTGACAGAAAATGCCAGTGGTTTACAGCTGAGCAATTTTAACGGCTGCTTTATTTTTCTTCATACAAAGTATATGTTGCTTTTGATAGGTGACTTTTCCAGTCTCACACTTGTTAACTTTGATATTTAGTAATCTTATCTTCTTGATTGTCTCTGGATTTTCCTACCTCTTTTAATACAATAATTTTGGATTTCTCTCTCTTCCTCTTAGTTGGTCTGCAATTGCTGAAACTGGACTTAAAAAACAATTCTTTGATTTCTCTGTCCCTCTCCTTTCTTACCTGTTAGAGATTTTGTTTTCTTTACAATAAGTCAACCATCAAAAAAGTCTTAGCCTGATTCACTTGGATGAAAAGACTTACACTGTTGTGTTGTCTGACTAACATAATACTTGGTGTACTTTGGCTATGACAAGTTTCAGTCAAATTTCACAGTTTCTGGAAATATTTGAAAAGAAATATTAGTAACGTGGAATCCTGAAATAATGTCCTTATTTAGAGCAAAGATGCAGCATTACTCCATAGCTATCAGTATGAAAGCCAAGGGTTAGTAGTCCTTCAGGTCTCCAAAGCACTTTCAAACTTTTCGGAAGTCTATGTTTTTGCACTTAAGATTTTTACTCTTGAGGGGAGTATGGTGCAAATACCAGAGTTAGCTGTGTGGGCTTTTAGACTTTTTTTTTAAACCTAACATCCCAGTGTTCATCTCTGAACTGGTTGGTATCCAAATGTTACCCTTAAATCACTTAGGCACTGTCTATTTCTTGAATGCAGTAAAAAGCTTTATCTCCTTAGAATTTACTCCTAGGGAATTATCTCCTAGGGAATTTACACCTCTGAGTACCATTGCCAGTCTGCTCCTTGTTGTTTTATGCTCTTATAGCTTCATGTTTTGATTTAATTTCAGCTTTGCGTAAGGAATGGTGGGTACAGCATTATGATCAAGACTAAGTTACTGAATTTGTGTGTGTTGCAAAAACTTTGTTTCACTTGTGACAAGAAGGAAATCCGTACTGATTGCCTGTTGAATGATCTGAAGCAGTTAGGATAAATTTTATTAGATATTATTTTTATTTGTAGGATAATGAGACTACTTTTAATGAGCCTGATCTTTTAAATAGCAAAATTTAATTTTAATTACACTTTTTCTGTTGTTGAAATATATATTGCACAGTTTAATTAAAAAAACAGGAGCACTGAGAAAAGGTGTGTGTTTGTTATCTCCACTGTGGTTTTGCAACCTACGAAAAACAACAAAGATAGGAAGCAACCAGAAATACTCAGAAGAACATTTCTAAATTGCATTTGAATGACAATCTTGAGTTTTTTAGACTCTTATATCTGGCAAATCTCAATATCTGAGGTGTAAACAGCACACTAGATTTGGGGGGAAGAAGAACAGTCATGGAAGTCTGATTAGCAAGCCAACTTAGCTAATTACAGGCTCGGGATACTCTGCATATAGCTGGAATGACTCAAGATATATGCTAGGTCAGAAGAAATAAATAGCTTTATGACCCTTGAGAGATTCATAATGGAATTTAGTATACATAAGAATATGATTAGTCTAATGGTTGTTAAGACATATTTGTGGTCTTTAATTCTTGGCTATATTATGACTGTTACCTCAGCCTTTTAATATTTCTGGAACATCTTTTTTCCACATAGCTTTCTCTAGGGCATCTTTAAGGGAAGCAGATAAAATGTTTTATTTGTGTTATTTTTACTGGGGGAATCCTAGTTCCTATTACTGGAACTCATAAGAGCATTTTCAGTCTGTTCTGAATTTCAATATAGCATAAAGCTGCATATGAGGCAAAAATCTTACCCTGCTATACATGGATAGCAACATGTTCCAGAAAACACAAAAAAATTCTAATTGCATTCCCTTTCTTCCACAAGCACACTCATGAACATACACAGCATGATTTGAACATGTTAAATCTGATTACCTTTATTTGGCAAAAACAACTATGATGAAGCTTCTGAGTCATAGGAATACTGGAAGGAAAAAAGGCATTGTGGAAAAACTACTATATTTCTAAAGTGGTTTCAGATGATATCTCAAGGGCTGAATACTAATGGAAATAAAATAAGATCTTTTGAGGGCTCATAGCAAATTATTTTCTTGTTCATGTGACAAAATTAAGCCATGTTTTGTGACTCTGAGTCATTGCATCTGGAAAAATTGTGTTCACTGATGCCTAAAGCAATAAAGTGAGGTTCCAGATTGCCAGTCCTATTCTGGGCTGCATCAAATTGTATCCTGGGCTTTCATAGAAAGAAGCACGACCAGTAGGTTGAGAGGTGAGTCTTCCCCTCTAATTTCCTCTCATGACACTCCACCTGAAGTACTGCATCCAGCCCTGGCACTCCCAGCACAAGAAAGATATGGACCTGTTAGAGCAGATCTAGAGGAGGGCTGCAAAAACAATCACAGAGGTGGATCACCTCTCCAATGAAGAGAGGCTGAGACAGTTGGGGGTGGTTCGACCTGGAGAAGAGAAGGTTCCAGGGAGACCTTATTGTGGCCTTTCAATGCTTAAAAGGGGCTTGTAAGAAAGATGGAGAGAGACTTTTTACCAAGGTCTTTAGTGACAAGGCAGAAGGCAACAGTTTTAAACCAAAAGATAGTAGATTTGGATAGGAAATAAGGAAGAAATATTTTATGATGAGGTTGTGAGACACTGGAACCAGTTTCACAATGAAACTGTGGATGCCCCATTCTTGCAAGTGCTCAGAGTCAGGTTGGATGAGGCTTTTAGAAATCTAATCTAGAGAAATATGTCCATGACCATGGTAGTGGGGTGGGAACTAGATGATTTTTAAAGGTTCCTTCCAACCCAACCGCTTCTAGCCTAGTCTAATCTAGGAAGTGGATTTTGTTCTTGAGTTATACACAGCATGATCCCGAAAGAATGTACAATAAGCCTAAATTAAAGTTTTAAGTGGCCTTAATTGTGAACTTTCCAAACATTTAGAGTGTTTGCATGCTCAACTCCCTGCTAATACAATTTTTCTGTAATGTCATTATTTCCATGTTGAAGTGTTATACATGTATATGGCACTTCTAAAGACAATGTCACCCTAGTATTAATCTAAGAAGGAAAGTACTTTTGAATCATAGAAACAAAATAGCAGAGGATCAGTTATATTTATTTTGTGATTTACACTCTTTTCTTACCAATGGAGAATATACTGCACAAAGAAATGCCAAATGTCAATAGGAGTTAATTTTAAAATTCAAGTATTTGACTGCTGCCAGCATTGGAATTAAATCTTTTTCTCAGATTTCCGTTACATTTGGCTTAATTTCAGACACTCAGTAGAGTTTTTTCTGCTGTGAAATAGAATATAATTTTTTAAAGCTCAGTACCAAATAAGTCTTTGGGCATGACACTCATAAAAAAAGCTTTATTTTGTGAGAAGTGACATCAGGATTTGTGAAAAATATTTGATAGTGATAACTGAATAATGAATTGCTCTGTTAAATCAGGAATAGTTGCATATATTAAAGAGGAGATTATAATTCATATTTGTATTAAAACTATAAAACATATTCTGAATGGCCTATAAATCATGATAAATCTTAGATGTATCACCTGTCTTACAGTTACTCCAATAGTTATGAGTCATCAATAGGATTTATGCCAGAAGTTACATGCAGATAGTATCTTCACATTTACACCTTTTAAAAACAAACAGACCAACCTGTGCTCTGCTTATGCGCAAGTGCTTTCACCCTTGGTTGACTGACCTTCAAATTTATGGTAATCTGCTGTAGACAGAGGTTCTATTTTTACTAAATCAAATACTAGTACAAACACTAGAAGTTTCTGCATGTGTTTTGTTTACTTTACTTACAATAAGAAGGAAAGCATAGACATATCTAAATAAGCACTAAGTAGAATTTTAGAAGGCTGGTTTTATTTTTTTTTTTAATTAACAATCCAAGGGTCTTAAAGGGATGTTACACAATTCAGACAGAGAGATGTTGATGTTCTTTCAGGATTTCCTATTTTATCTGAGCTGTTCTTGTGCTTGCTTCTCATGTATAATGGTGAGATAAGTTTTTTTCTGAAATTATTTTTAAG